AGCCTCTCACTTCCGCACTTCTCGTACTTATAGTACGCACCGTACGTAGTGCGCGTACTTCAAGCGTGCAGACCCTGAATTGGGACACAGCCTCAGTGTGGCTACGCTTCTCATTTTAAGCCTCACCTGCATTCAAACGGATGAGGTGTAAAAACAGAGTTGTTACAAAAGGGGAAACCACATTATTTTTTTCACCAACATGTTTTCTAAAGGTATTTTAACATCGGGGTTTGAGGTTGCCATCATGGGCACTTCTGCATGAAGCCCAGACATGTCATAAATATTACTTCTCATTTCAAAGAAGTGATATATAAGAATGTATTTTTAGAAATGTTTCACACGTCCTTTAACACAGCCATCCCCAGAGGTCCAGGCTGGCTCTGATGCATCTTTAGTACAGTATAAGCTGGTATATTGGATTCCTTTCCCTTACAGTATCTGAATTCTTTCACCCATAAAAGATGACATTTCACAACTCCTCCAATCGGGCTCCAAGTGGGAAAGAGTTAGGAGAGTCATTACTTCATGTCCCCCATGGTTGCTCGTATTAAATGAATGAAGGTGAACTGAACAGAAGCTCAATAACTGTCTTTTTCTTTTTCAGTTGCACATATATTGATATTTTTCATTACATTACTACAATAGACTACATATTATGATAGTATTGTGAGACTCTGTGATTCCCACAACATACAAAGCAGTTGTTATTGTTGAGGTTAGTCAGGAAATGATTGTGAGTCAGTGCACTGTAAGCTGAAATGAAGGTGTTTGAAACTCACGAACAGGCCGATGGCTTCCTACTGAAACAGTGAGTCGATCATACCGACAGTACGAGTCGTTCTCCAAGTCAAAAAGATCGAACTCCAGCAGAATACTATAACCTGGAGGAACGCTGATGCTCCACAAACACAACCTGTGGGAAGGCATGAACAGTTTAACCAGTTAACTGTATTTTCCTTCTTTACATCCATATAGTCCTGAGCTAAAAGTCAAATGTTAGTTTTTTAGAATTTCTCATCCTCACAGAATTATAAGAATTATTGATTGCCAGTTATCTTATTAAGCATGGCGTTAGCTCAGGCAGCTTCTGGCACATCGGCTGATCTCAGTCACTGCTCATATCAGCACATCTGATTAATTTGCTTTAGGCTGCACATCTGCAAGCCACCTCATAACCCACCTCCACCCCAGCTTGTCCATTCAGTCTGCATCAAAATCAATCGATATCGCATCTGTTGCATGGACTGGTTGTTGCTCTCTCTGCCATCTTTTAAATTCATGCACATAAATGGCCTCAAATGTAAATCACTACAGATGGAAATGCAGTGTTCTCTTGACTACACCGATTCTGACTGAGCAGGCAGTTAGCTCCGCCGCTTAGTTCTTCTCTGAAGTGTCACTCACTGGTTGTTGTCATAGCGATCGCCATGGAGCCTGGGATTTTTGATTACCCCGTTAATGTCAGACACAGGCCCGTCTCTCACGCTGCAGAGTCCTGAGACGCACGCAAACATCAAAGAAGCATGAGCACATTATGAAATATAGATGAACAAGAGTTGGTGTAATGAGTGGAAAGACAACTCACTTGATGAAACCGTTGTCTGCTGCTGGTGCTCAGCTGAAAGAAGTAGAAAGATGAAAGAGAGAACATAAATATAAATGGAAGAACTTCATCTGTCATCAGAATATTTGTTTCTGGAGGAACTGTGGACAAAAACCCACAGAGTTAAACCGCAGATTAACGTAATCTAAAATGTTCTAATTAGTTAATTCACATCTATTCAATACAAAATGTTTTTTTCTCCTAATTTTCAGAATGACACTGCTGAGTTTAAACAATTCAAAAATGCCTACAGACTTCGTTTTTGTAACCTTTTCTTCTCATAAAAATAATAATAAAAATCTGTTCTAACCATGATGACAGCATCAGATTAAGTCCAGCATGCTTTGATAAAGCTCAGCCTCAAAAGTTGTCTTTGTTGGGATCCACAAAGTGGGCCCATATGGAGAAGCAACAGCTTTAAATGGTATTGTATCATGTTAAATATTAATAACAGCAGCAGCTGCTAAATGAACTGCAGACAGCAATCTGCTGCTCATGTTCGTGCATCACACACTGTGTGAAAGCTAACGTCATCATACAGGGATGACACATACAAGATGCTATGCGTCTACTGTACAAAAGTCCTGAGGAAACCCTCATTTCTTCATATTCTGCTTGGAAAATGGGAATAATATGTTATTGTTTTCATAGATCCAACTACAGAAAGGCAAGAAATGAGACATTTTTGTGTATCAGATACATCTTAACTTTTGTTTATTGTTTATTTGAGTTATCTGTTGTGTTTAGACAGTGTTAAGTGGTTTTCTTCAGAGGAAAGAAGCACTGCTCTGATAATGGTCCGATACAAGGGCCGGAATGAAAATGAGTGACAAAGAAGTCACTGTATAAAGGAAAACTTGGAAAGGCCTTCAGAGAGCCGGGACAGCTATCCGGTCGTTAAGTCTGACGTCACTAGCCGTGTCTGGGCCTAAACTCCGCTGCAGGTCCATATATCAAACGATCACTGTGGCATTACTGAGAGTTGAAAAACTGTCTAAAGTCTTTCATCTTTAATAAAATGATCAGCGTTCTGCTCTACCAGGTGTAACAATTGAGTTTAACATCCAGGCATCCATGAAAACGGAATTTATGACATTTAACGGAGTTAGAAGTTAGCAGGAAGTTAGCTCGCTAGCTTCTATCTAAATACAATATAGCATGTCCTGACTGCGGGGTTTTGGAAACAAATTAAAACGTACAGCTCTGTTATCACTTCCAACATAAATGAAGGCAGAAAACTAAACAGCAGTGACGTTTGTAGGGTTACTGAAGTTTGGCTAGCTGGTATATAATGATGTGCTACGTGACCGCTAGCGACACAGCTATGTTAGCATAATATAAACAAGCTAACTTTTTTCCACTTGATAAAAGTTAACGTGAGTGTTCTCGGTGGTCAGGAACAAATGTAATCGCATGGCAGGATGCTGTAAAAGGACCAAACTTCAGCCAGGAGAACAACTGAGATAATCCATCCACAATACGAGGTTAGTCATTCATATACTGCTGCATGGGCTGGGCTGTAGTTATATCCTAAGGTTTTAAAAACTGAGCTTAAATAAATGATTAGCAGTAATGAAAGCCGAGGGAGGTCAACTAACTGTTTTAGGAGCTTTTTGAGATTAAATAGAAGAAAATACAAAACATTAAACATGTTAACAACACAAAAGCCATATAAACGCAGACTACTTTAGGCCCGGAAGTAGGATTCGTCACGTCATCACTTAACGACCGGATTAAGACTGCTCTTTAAAAACAGTTACAAGTAAGTCTGGCTCCTTGGAAGCAAAGTATAAAGAAAGGAAAGGTGACTCAATGCTTTTTCACAGTACTCACAACACTTAGAAAGCTGGGCGATTAGTTAAAGGAATGTCAAAAAGACAAGTGTGTTTGTATATTACGTCATGAAGGTCTGTTTTTTAAGAACATATTTGAATCGATTGCTGATGAGGAAACAAAGAATCTTTACCTTCATCTCCTGATATTTCAATAAACAGACATTGTTTACATTCCTGTCTGTTACATCACATTTTGATGGTCAAGCAGCACTTTAAAGGTTAGGAAAACAGGTTTCTCACCACCTTGATGTGTGGGTGGAGGCATATTTACTGCAATATATTTCTACAAGCTTTAGCTACTTTTTAAGTTTGTCCCTGACTAAAATACAAAGTGACATTCACATGTTATCAGATGGATCTCAGGGTGTAATAGCCACTTTGTACCAGCACTGTACTACCTCCATATATGGTTATCATGTGACACACCATGTGTATCACAGTCTTTAGAAGCAAATATGCTGTTTCAAAACCTACCCTCTCTCAATTTACGCTTGATCCAAGGCAGCAGCAGCCTGACGTCAGTGAAAATCCCCGGAGAACCTCGTTTGGAAGGGGGGCGGCTGCTGTTGTTTCCCCAGCTCCTACCACATCCTTTACCCCAGGAAGTCACGCCCAGCGCCACCCAGCGATGACCTTCTGACCCTGCTGGACACACCAAAGGACCTCCTGAGTCTCCCTGGACAGAGGATGAAGTCGTGGGTCAAGGGATGAGTCAATTATTTAAAGCTCAGTGGGATAGAATGACTGATTTACGGCAATGATTTGTGCTATAAATAGAGCATCTGTGAGGATGGAGAAAAAATCTGAAGTTATTGATAATGAAAAGATTTGTAATACCTGACAGGCATCTCTCCCTCCTGTCTCTGGGCCGGCACACAGAACTGTCATGCTCGGCTGAGGCCGGACGAGTCTCTGGTTAAGAGTTTGGAGGACATATTTACATTTGGCTCGGTCAACCAAATCCAAATGCACCTCTCTCAGAACCATAGGAAGACGACCCCCTAAGAAACAGTTACACAGATTAGAATAGATTAAAAAGCTCCAGTCTAATTTAACAATATTTAAAAGTCAGAAAAACGACATACGTTCCTTTATCCTCCCCCATCCAGCCGTCATGCAAGCGGTCTGAGGAAGGATATTGTCATTAGGTAAAGGCAGACATATCGGCTGGACACGAGCTCCTGTTGAAAAAGTCACATCAGGTCAAATTAAAAACCACGGTGGCCCGAAAGTACAAAACACAACAGAAACACAACATTCCTTGTTTCTGTTTTCACATCATTGCATCATGCTTGAATGTTATTCTCAGCAGTGTCCTTGTGTGACTTTTATCATTGTTCAACCTGACAAAGAATCTGTAAGTTGTATTTGCTTGCATGTGAGCTATGTGTGTCCTGTGACGAGCTATGATGCTTCAAGCAAGCATGCAGGCTGCACACACATCACTGTGCTCTGAGGATCTGAAGGAACATCTTAGAGCCATTACATATTAAAACTGCACTGACCTTCAGTCTGCTGCTCCCTTCTTTGCAAAGGGTCGCCGCAGCAGATCTGCATATCTGATTGGTCGGTCTTCCTCACAACTCTTGAGGAATTTGTCTCAAACAACGAGTGGTCACATGTTAAGTGAATGTGTTAACCATGCACCATGTAGCCACACCATCCCAGCATTTCAAACTTAAAAATTCAGTGCAGTCAGAAAACTTCTAATGTAACAGAGACCTCCCACCTAGATTCAGATACCCGGTTTTTATGAAATAATCCAGAAGAAATTGTTTGTTTTTTTAAATTTGATAGAAAGGGTTGATACAAAAGATATAATTCTATTTTTATAGTTGATTTGATCCATTTGTAGCCACATAGCTTTCTGTAATAACATTTTCTCCTTTACCATATTGATGTCTTGAAACCAGATGTGACAGATGAGGTGTGGATATGAGAAAACAGGCAGATCGACTCAATTGCAAATCATCGGCAAATGAGCGGAACTGGACTGAAATTCACACAGTAGACTTGATTTTTTACTCAATATGACCCAAAATGCAGGTTTAA